AACTAATACAACCACAAGCTAATAAGTATTGAAAGAACTCGGCGACGCAACTGCTTGGGAATTCTCAAACATAAGTCCCCTTGACATCGTTTGGGCAGATTTCGCTAATAGACTCAGCGACAGTGTCAAAAGAGCATGAGAGACCAAGCCCCTTCGTCCCGCGAAAATGCCCTCAATTCTAAGGATCAGGACTCGAAAATGCCTAGGGATAAGGCGTGCTTGCAAGACAAACACCGACTCAGAGACTTGGGGAAATTTCCTGACACATCGCAACCATTGCAGTGCACTTGTCCGTGAGGACAAAGTAACTTATAAACAGTGCCTAGCCACAAAATTCATGGCAAACAACAAACTGCTATATAAGCATGTCAATAAGCTTCGTAAAGTGAAGCATGGAATACCCCCACTGTTCACGACAGGCGGTAGAGTACAAATCGCCGAAGAAGCAGCTAACGCCCTGCGGCTTCAATACGCTCCAATTTTCGAACTCGTAACCTCTACCTGTCCCATAATGTCATACACATTGTTGACTCCACTGTTTAAAAATGTAATTGTCAACCCACCAATTGTGCTAAGGAAGTTACTCTCACTGCGTGAGCACAGTTCTCCGAGAGCAGAAAATATCTGCCCGAAGGCACTGAAGGCTGCAGCCAACAAGCTAGCTGAACCCCTGTCACAGTTATTCCAAAGGTGTTTTAAAGTAACACAAATCTCCACTATGTGGAAGCGTGGCATTATCACTCCAATTATTAAAGAAAGTAGCTGTTCAGATCCTGCAAACTATCATCTAGTGACTCTCCTCCCTGTGCTCGCGAAGATGATGGAAGCAGTCGTCGCTGAGGCTTTAATGGACTATCTGGAAAAATGCAACGTCTTGGTACCGGAACGGCATGGCTTCCATCAACACCGGTCATGCACCACCAACCTATTGATTGCACGAGGTAGTTGGACGGAAGTAGCTGATAATGGGGTCGGAGTTGACGTCATCTATCTGGACTTCTCCAAAGCTTTCGACCGCCTTGATCACCGCATCCTACTTGAACGGCTACAGAGTTACGGAATCGGAGATCCTGTACTTGGTTGGATTGGTAGCTTCCTTCACCCACGGAAGCTTCAAGTAGGTGTTAGGGGAACACTCTTTTACCTGATTGAGGTGGAATGTGGTGTTCCACAAGGCTCAGTGCTGGGACCGCTCTTATTCCTGGTGTTTTCCAACGACCTGGCATCAGTTATCTCCTCAAATTTCCTGATTTCGCCGATGACGTCAAGATATGGCGGGCGATTGGTAACAAGCTAGATCAGGATCTGCTCCAACATGACTTAGATTGCATTTACGAATGGTCAAAGAGGAACAAGCTTCAATTAAACATAGCTAAGTGCAAAGGGATACATCTGCGTCACTAGCCGTTGAGCGCTTACAAGATTGGAGACCACACCTTGGAGAAGGTCTCTCAGGAGCGTGACCTGAGTGTATTGGTACAGGAAGATCTCGGGTGTTCAAAACAAGCAGAGAAGGCGACGAGAACCGGGAATCAACACTTCGGCCTTCTTCGCAGAACCTTCGGTCGGTTTGAACCCTCACTCTTTCACCAAATGCTTAACGCCTACGTGCGACCTCACGTGGAATATGTTATTAAGGCGTGGCAGCCGTGGCAGAAACAGGATCTCGTTTCTCTCGAGAAACCTCAACGACGGGCAACCAAGAATGTCAGGTGCCTCTTTCATCTGCCCTATCAGCTTAGACTGAAATTTCTAAGAATGTACAGCAGTCGATATCGGCTTCTGCGGGGGGATCTCATAATGGTTTACCAGATTCTGAAGAACCCAAACCACATTTGCCGTCCGCTGCTGGAATTGAACCACAACACTAACTAAGAGGTCACCCTCTGAAACTGACAATTCATTATAGCCGGCTTGAATGCCGTAGAAATTTCTTTTCCCTCCGCGTGTGCCAGTCTTGGAATGCCCACCCTAATTATGTCGTCTCTGCTCCCAATCTGGCGATATTTAAAAGACATGTTGACGATGCATTGTCTCACTTACATTTCATTTTATGACTTGTTAGCCAGGGGCTACAAAACGCAATCAAACGGTGTCTTGCCAAACGCCTAACCAATGGATTTATGGATTTATACGTTTAATACGCGAACATCTCCGCTATTCCACATAAGTCTATGGTGAGTCCATTACAACGCTTTTCACTTTATCATGCAATTGATTTTCGCAATCATTTCCATCTTACGGGACTTGTTAATTAATGCTTTTTACCCGTAATAAACCATTGTTCCATTGTCCCATTGTCCAAATGGCGTAGGTTCATCGTTGATCATTCATAGATGCAGTCTAGGTAAATTTGGCATAGATCGGGCTCATCCTCGTTATTACTCGCCCGCCATCTCTAGACATCATTGGATCAAAGCAAGAAATTTATGACGATAACACTTGGCAGGTCGTTGATACATAGAAGGAAGAGGCACCGTTCCAGCACCGAGCCCTGTGGAATACCACATTTTACCTCAGTCTGGTTAGAGAGGGATCTCCTAACACGCAGTTGAAGCTTCCGTTGGTTAAGTAGGTTGCAATTTCAACCAAGTACAGGATGTCCGATTCCGTAGCTCTTTAGCCGGTGAAGTCGGACACGGTGATCTGGTCGTTTGAAAGCTTTTGATATGTCCAGATGGATGACGTCAACTTCGGCCCTATCATCAGCTACTTCTGTACGAATTATATGTGGATAGTTATTAAAATTTGACCTTTCCGGTACCAAAACGCGTCGTCGTTCATCAGTGATCTTGTAGGCAAGATGATCAATAACTCCACAGCTGCTATCTCTGAAACATTTTGCTGATCTCAAGCCTTGAGCGTGCTCATCTGTAACGTCAAGTATGGAGACTGACCGCATACTTGCTATTGGGGATTAATTTATCAACAACATTAGAAAAATCGTTAATTCTTTACGTAGTAATAATCGGGAAAGAATTCCGCCTAATGAGTATATCCTGGATGCTGTTTACATTCCATCCGCTCTATACACTAAGGACGCGGCGTAAGATTTCTTTTAATGCAGGCGTTCGCCTTTTCGCTGGAATCAAGGCTTTTTCCAATTCAACGGCATATTGTTTAGCATCTATCATCACAATGGTGATATTATACAAAATATAGAGTATCACCTGTTAGTTCACTGTGCATCAGTTATATACAACTAGGCGAAAAATATGATTGAGCATGGTTGTTAAATGCATCAAGTTATTGAAGCAGTTAGATAATTCCCACCATTATTTCATCGAAAGCAATAGTGCGCAGCCTGCCGACTTTGTTATTTACGCTTCAGGTCAGTATTTCATTATATCTGTTCGATCTGACAGCTTACAACAGTTCCCAAACATAGTTTTCGTTCCGAGTGCAGTGCATACTACTATGTTGGTTAGCATCATACATGGGTAGCCTATCTAGGCTAGTTATCTTGTGTGTCCACCAACTTTTCTCACATTCAGTCACCAGTGGATTTGTTAAAATAAATGTGCACAGATTGTTATCGTTCATGTTTTATGTCAATGTCGTCAGTACGCTTATTAAATATGACATCTTTCCTATTTGCAAAGGAAATAATGCGTGTACCCAGGCTACTAATCCGTGGAATTCTAAACAAATTTATTCGATCAGATTGTTCATCCATCTCATGAGACACGGTGTAGCACGTGGATGTTCGCCACCAAGAAATCGAGCATCACATGTCGCGGATGTGTGGTGCCAGCAAATTCTATTACACTTACCAACGACTCGCTTTGTGTGCAACCACCTACCTACCACCTTGACAGCACAAATTACTCCAGCTTCAACTTTTGCTTCGCATGAGTACCAAATGGAAAACTGAATAAAACGTATTTTTCTCGACAATGCGAGATGGACTAAATCAGCGGTCTGATCAAATAAATGTTACGTCACATGAAGAAATCTGACAGAAAAGTTAAAGCGCTCTCAGATTTGTCTTTTATCAAACTTCCACTAAGCTCGCATTCAGACCGAGAATTATTGCAATCGGGCTAAGCAAAACTCTAGCCCCATCCACATTAACTACCACTGTTTATGCCTATCCTGAGACTTTCAAGCAATCTGATTCATCGAACTGACAACCCAACTTGGCTGCGTTAAAACCGCAGCAGGTACAGTGTCCTGATTAAACGGAGTAGCATGTTTACTGAGCATCTTTTATCATTTGCGTTTCAGTAATTTGGATAAACATATTGCTGCATGAATTCTACCCTAGGACGTAATGCAATGAGTATAGTTGTGGCAAGACGGTTGACTACCGGTATTACTGCAGAGAGGACATCCATTGTTGATGAACTTATTGATCCTATTTAATAAACTAGTTATTTCGTAGCTAGTGCTTTAGGGTTGTAGGACCCAAAAACTGAGTTATACGATGAAAGATGAAACATTGCTGCATCATCGACCATGGTAACTGCGTCTAAAGACTTTTAGACTACTTGTTCAGTATGGAATAAAATTAGCGCTTCTTTAGGTAGAGAGTCCTACAGTTTGTAAGCGGAAAAGGCGTATTGCATCTCTTAACGTATTTCAGCAAACTGAAGGAATGTTTTCGCTGAGGCATGTCAAACTGCTGTTTTTACTGATTTACAATGATTTAAACAGATATTAAAAATAATAAATAACTTTCTTTAGAAATACTCGCTTGACTTCATCAGAATATCAAATTGGCTTTTAAAACTATGCACTTCAGACGCATCTCATAAAGCGCTTATTTATCACCTTGTTTAAATATGTTCCTTTTACTTCTAAGCAGTTTAAGGGATCGTTTAGTAGATGTTACATATTTAAACTAAATTCATGGAAAATTTCAGCAATTGACAGGTTTTTGCTATTTTTTTAAATTTTCATGGGCAATAGAATCCGAAGGAGTATCTAACACATATAGTAGCCGCAATTCATAGTGCGATATTGATAGTATTATTTTTGATTTTGGTTCCATTTTACAGCAACCGGAGTTGGGTTGTTCACAGATAATTCGGTGAGGCAAAATAGTACAGCATGCTTTCTGGTACGTCTACTTAATCTGGTGCAGTTCGACTTGTTTCGAAACATTCAAACCTTATTTCTAATAATTAGTAAGGAATTCTGTTGCTTTAGCTTCTACAACATGCAGAGGATGTGTGGAAAATTGGTGGACTCCACACCTGCATTTCCCATCATCCAACTCCCATTGGGCGGGACTTGCAAATTATCCCATTTAGTATTTCGGTGGATTCTGAAGCATTTAACAATTTTCCGGAGCATGGATACTATTTTGAGCAACTTGATTTTATCAACAAGATACTAAATGCAGGTGCCAAATCGTGTGTGACAGTTACGGGATCCGACTGGTGGATTGAGCAAGATTCTCACGGTAAACAACAAGCACATCATGCCAAATGAATTGCTCTGGAGTACATTCCTTTTCTGCCAATATATTTCTGACAACTATAATGTATTTGTTTACAAATAGTGCCACATAGGGGATGCTGAGGCAGCGCTATAACATTCGATTTTCTTGGTTGCAGACATGTCTTATGATATCAGAATGTTTTACATCTCACAAGGTGGAACTGTAAATTCGTCTGTCTGCGGTATGGTGAGTTGAAATGCACCTTATAATTGTGACCTGTAAACATTAGAAGCCACGAGAATTTTAAGTTTAACACTGCAGTTACATTTTCTTACATTTGTAGTGTTTGGAATTATTGCACATAAAATAGACAATGTACTCCAATCAAGCCAAGTAAATACAGTACTTTGTGAACCCATAATGGTTGGATATTCAGCCATAACACGCACGCTTTCAGCGATACAGCATTAAATTCAAAATGATTGTTCAATAGTTGAAAAAGGATAATACCATCAGAGCACAAAACATTTACTTAAACCTTGGAGAGCTTTTTGGTATAGCAAAATTCACGCTAGATAGTGGATAATTGACGAACGGCATGCTCCTGGGGGGTCATATATACATTTCTACTTCTGTTTGGTTGATAAAATTAACACACATTCCGACAATACACATTGGAGGGGTAACTTGTGTCGACAAGTATTGTTGATGCTAGTCTCTTGCAAGAACCAACATGAGTGGATGCCAGTTTATCAAGGAACGTCAGCTTTGATACACCGCAGCAACACAGCAAGTGTTTGAACGACCTGCAGATTAATCGAAAGTCCTTGACCAGTAGATCAGGAAACATTACTGGTGTGAAGTACGTCCAGTGTGGAATAACACAAGCTGTGACAAAGCGAAGTATCAAATCATAGGTGACCGACGAAGCTCGCAGATCTGGGCCGTAGAAAGATGACCTCAGGACTTTTATGAACATTTCTTTCATATGGTATGACCAAAGTAAATTGTAGCCTAGCATAAAGCCCAAATACTTTACCGATGAGGAAGAGTGCAATCTCTCGCCATCGATCTTGAGTTCCAGGCCTTGCTCATGAGTGTGTTGCTATCGAACTCATCTGTGCAGTGAAAGAATGATAGCATCGCATTTTGACACTTTGAGAAGCAGCTAGCGGGCCTTTGATCAAAAGGAAAGACGGTCACGAATATCTTACAACCACATTGAAGAGGCAATCGTCGATTGATTGGCGCCCAGGTCATTGAAATGTGCGTAGTACAGCAGTTACCTCTCTTGGGACTGGTATTGAGCTTACATAATTGGAAAAGAAAAGTGGTGAGGGAATAGCTATCTGAAGAACCCCAGTGTTTGTGATTAGGGGCGAGAAGCTTCTGCCTCCAAATCGAGTAACATGAGTAAAACCGGTAAAGTAATCCCTGAAAAGATGGCTGATGGATGGATGTATTCCAGCTCCGAGTAGATCTTTAAATAGCATTTCGCGGTTTACGCAGTGCAATGCGTTGCGAAAGTCAGCTGAACTAGAACACTGGTGTATTACGATTAAACAAAATGCTTAGCGGGTCGCATGGGCTGCAAGTTATTGCGCAAATAACAATTGTGATAACGTGAAAAACCTTCTGATAGAGTCAGCATAAACGCGTATAGAGGAGCGAAGATATTCACACATTAAAAGAAAAGCTCCATAAATCCATTGTTTTGAATTTTGGTAACAACCTTTCGATAGCTCTTTGTAGGCCCCGGCTAACAAGTTATAAATTGGAAAGAAAATGAGACAAAGAATCGTCAACTCGTTTTTTACATGTCGACTGATAGGGAGCAGAGACAACAAAATTAGGAAGGGCGTTCCGAGTCTGACACAGGCGGAGGTAAAATAAATTTCTACGGCATTCAACCTGGCTATACTGTATGGTCTCTTACAGAGGAGGACATCTTAGGTTAGTGTTGTGGCTCGATTCCAGCAGCGAGTGGCGAATGTGGCTTTGGTTCGTTAGAAACTGGTAAGCATAATGAACTTCCCCCACAAACACCGATGTCGACTGCTGTACATCCATAGGGAATTCAGTCGAAGCTGATAAGGCAGATGAAAGAGGCCCCTGACGTTCTTTCTTGCCTTCCGTTAGGGATTCTGCAGTGCAACGAGAACCTATTTCTGCCACGGCTGCCACGCCTGGATAGCATATTCCATGTGCAGTCGCACGTAGACGTTAAGCATTTGGGGAAGATCGAGGGTCAAACCGACCGAACGCTCTGCGATGGAAGTCGAAGTAATGATTGGCGATTCTCGACGTATTCACTGTTTGTATCTAGCAGCCGATATCATACGGCACCAGCACAACCAACTATCGCTCCTGAGATGCCTTCTGCAAGTTGTGGTCTCCCAGCTAGTAAACGCCCACCGGCTGGTGACGCAGATGGCTCATCCTGCACTTAGCTGTGTCCAACTGGCGTGAGTTTATCGTTGACCATTCATAGATGCAGTCTAGGTAAATTTGGCATACATCGGGCTCATCCTCGTTATTACTCGCCCGCCATATCTAGACACCATTGGAGCAAAGCAGGAAATTTGCGACGGTATCACTTGGCAGGTCGTTGATACATAGAAGCAAGAGGTACTGTCCCAGCACCGAGCCCTGTGGAATATCACATTTTACTTCACTTGGGTTAGACAGTGATTCCCTAAAGGGCACTTATCGCCTGTTTGTATCTTGACATTTGCAAACTATTTCATATTAAGATCACTGATTTCTTAACTTTGTAGCCTTTAAGTACAATGTTTGGATCCTTGCTGTCGTAATCTTTTGATTGTCGACTCCGACCATACCATCAACCACTTCCGTCCAAGAACCTCATGCCATTTACTGTTTGTTGCTGCATGACCGGTGTTGATGGAAACCATTCTGCTCTGGTACCAGGATGTTGCATTTTTCCCGGTAGTTCTTTAGATGCTCAACAACGTCCGCTCGTATCCACTTCACGAGCACAGGGTAAGTCACTGGGCTATAGTTTGCAGGAGTTGGACGGATACCGCATTAAACAAATGTAAAATTGCCTTGTTTCTGCATAGTCAGGATTTGCTGTTCATCGAAGCAGCTTTGGAGGAACTGTGACAGCGGCTCGGCTACTTTGGTTGTCGCAGCTTTCAATACTTTAGGGCGGATGTTTCTTGCTTCCGGCGAGTCATTATTGTCCATTGATAGCAACATTTCGTAACACAATTTCTGGGTTGTGATTCACAAATTTAAACCATGGAGTTAGTAATGTCTGATGTTATGAGGCAGGCAGATTTTGCCACTTCTCAAATTGGTGAGTACCGAAGCCGCAGGGCATTAACTGCTTCCTCGGCTCTTCCTACTCTTCCGATTGTTCTGAAAAGTAGAGAAATACCATGCTTTTCTTCTCGAATACTGTTGACAGGTCTAAATGGTATTTTGTTGCTTGCCGGAAACCTTTTGGCTTGGTACGTATGATAATTTACTTCGTACTCATGGACAAATATAGTGCAATTGTGGTGGATTAAAGGTAGAAACTACTGCGCCGGGTATAAGTAGTGTGGTGGTACAAGATGACACACCAACAGCGAGAACTGCCGACTTCCCCAAAGTTGAAGATGACATTAGGATTAAAGTTCCATGCGCACGAGGAGTGAACACAGAGTCAAGCACCAGTTGAGGAACACTCCATGGAGATCACGCGGATGAGCGGACGCCTCCAAGTTATGGACGAACAGACCTAGTGTAAGCCACTTTAGCAATAAACAACTACCGCCTGCCACTTGGGTTCTAACATAATGATTGCGATGGGTGAGAAAATTGACAAAAGTACCTGTCGGAGTTAACCTTGTTGGTACAAGCTGTTGTATTCTTTATCGCAATGAATTTCCTGGTCCGGCTCCTTTGAATTGAGGGCGTTTTTGCGGATTCGAGGAGGCTTATTCCCTAATGCTCTTTTGACCTGGTCACTGATTCTTTTAACGAATTGTCCAAAGCTTGTCTAGAGGACTATTGTTCAGGAACACCTAGCGGTTGTCCCGATCTCTTCTTCCAAGACATGGTAGCATGTGATGGTATGAGCTAGTTCCGTGTGTTCAGACGGATATTCTCCATGACAAACATAATTGAGCATTAAAAATATATGGTCCTTGAGACCTAAGTTACTCTCCATCAGCAACGTCAATCATAAGGTCTTCATTCATAAGCACTCTGCCTATATGGACGGTTCGTCTACTCTCCTGAATCTAGTGGCCATGGTAACATGATTGTACAAGGAATACTAGCGATCAGTTCGTGCAACTCTGCTTTGAACTCTTCACTTAGTTATGCCGATACCTCCAGATCTTGAGGTTTAAAATTGCAGCAGATGAGAATGTAACCGTACTTAGTGCGTGTTACCCTGTTCAAAGCGCGTATCATGCGGGAATTCAATTCCGGACTGGACGTTGGGGACGGTAAACGGCATCTGCGAGACAAATGTCGTTGTGCGCTAGTCAGAGACGGCACCAGAGTGAGTCAATGATATGAGTTTCCGGATCACCACCTATTGCAGATTGCAGGTCACTGCGGTAGTAGAGAAGGACTCCACTTCATCTATTGATGCGGTCTTTCCGTATGAGTAACATTCCTGCTGTCTCAGCTGCAGCAATAGCCACCTCTTGGTGCAACCAAGATTGGGTGATGGAAATACAGCGAGTGGCTG